CTCGTCGGAGGGGCCGGCGGAGACGACTCCTCCGCTCCGCCCGGAGGCAGCCCGGACACGGCGAGCGGCGCGTCTCCGCCCGCCTGAGCGTTTCCATAAATCAGGCCGCTGGCAGGTTGCTAATTAGCTCAGGCCGAAAAGAATAGGAAGAGGGAGAGTCCAGTAGAGTGCGGTGGGGTGGGGGTGGGAGCTCAGTAGGTAGGAGATCAGAATTTCCCCAGGACCAGCAGGAGCATCCTTGGGGCACTTCAGCAGCCCCCGCGGAGGCCACCAAAGATCACTCCCCCACCCCAGCCGAGGCCTCCGGTCTGCGGCCTCCTGATCACACGCCCCCCTTACTGCGCGCACCCCCACGTTCGACCTGGCCCGCCCACCCACGCCGACGCCCCCTCTCCCACTCGCTGAGCCAGCCCGGCGTTAATTAACTCTCCCCTCACCCCCTGCAATATCGCAGGACTTTCACGACTCGTCCCCAAGTGTTTCCTCCTTAAGCCTGAAGCCTCCAGCTTGGAACAGCCTCCAGGAAAAGAGGGAGCTGGGTCTGGAAGGAGGGTCAGTCACCTCGAGGCTTTTGGGATAACGGGGCTCTCCCAGGGGTGGCGGGCTGTGTGGGATAGGATGTGGGAACCCTGTTCCTTTTCCCCCAGTGAAAAGGCAAGTTGATGGGTCATTCAAGATTAGAAATAAGACTGAAGTTGGATTATTGATTTCCATGTAAATCCAGAGCAAAGGACGCGGCGAGCGAGAGCGACTTCTGTTTATTTTCTCTCTTTTCCTCCCCCACCCTTTTCCCAGCCCGCCGGGCTCTGCTCCCCTCCCGGTTCTCCCCGCCCTCCGCCGGGAAGGGACTCTGCGATGACATCACCGCGGAGACCCGCGGCCTCCCCGCCCTCGGCCCCGGGACCCCGGAGCGGAGATTGACAGGTGTCGCTCGCAAGGACAATGCCTTCCAGGTGTCACCGTCACAGTCTCTTCCCTCCTAACCCGCCCTCTCTGCCCCCTTCCCTTCCAACTTTCCCATTCCCCGCCATTTCTCCTTCGAGGTAGGCTCTCTCATCCCCCTCCGCTTCTCGCATCTGGGCCCCGGGCCCCGGGTCCAGGGATGTGGGCAGGGGTGGCGGGGATCCCTCCTGCTGCCTGCCGCGGGGCGGCTTGGAGATGCCAAGAGCACGGGGAAGGGTCCAGGAGGCGACAGCCCGAGTGGGCGAAGAGAGAATGTGCATGTGTTTTAAAGGAACCAGCGCGGTCTCTGGACTTCCCTGCCTTCACTCCCCATCCTCCTCCCGCCCCAACACACACACACACATAGTATAACAGACGCGAAGATAATCCTGCCATCTGGCAAATCCCAAATTTGGCGGCCAAGCTCAGAAAGCCACGGCGAAGTGTCATCCCGAATAGATGGCCGGTCCTGCCCGACACTCTGGAGCTGGGGCGAGGGCGATGAGCTCTGCCCGCACCTGCCCGCGTGGCGGCCGGATCCCCCATCCCCGCCCTGACCTCGCAGACTTTGCGGGGTTTTCTTCCCACAGCCGACAGAGGCTCTGAGGGTCAGGAATGCGGACACAGGACTTGTGGGCCCCCCGCCCCAGTTTCCACTAGTAACTGCTTCAATGAACTAAAACCCAAATTCGGCTTCATTATGTAACACCGAATGTAATTTATAGCTGGGCGGCCTGTCGGCGGCGATTTAGATCATTTGGTGATAAGGATCGCACTTATTAGATTTCTTCAAAGCCGATGGGGGTTTTCTATTTTTTTTTAAAGGAGGGCATTTGTGCTAAATTGCCCAGTGCTGGTGTGATAACTGTCAAAAGTTTGACATCAAAGGAGCTAATATTATTCAGTTACCAGAGAAGCTGTCTGTCTAAATAAGAATATCTTAATTACAGCATGACAAAGGTAGGAAGGGGTCGGATCTGAAAAGGGGAGAGGCATTCAGGCGCCCCTTTTGATGCACTATCTATATTAGACTGATGCTCCACTCTTAATCAGGCCTAGTCCGACTTCCTCTCGTCTCCTCGTCGGTCCTCTGAACTTTATAACTATATGTAAACACGTTGTCAGCAGGGACGTAATCTTCTCGGGTTCTTATTAGAAGAAATTTCCATCCTTTCCCGTTCTAGATTAGCAGTGGAGTCCGCTCCATCAATGAAGGGACTAAGGTTTCGTGGACAATAATGTGGCAATTGTTGATGGTTTGTGACCCATAAAATGTGGAGGTGACTGTTCTGGCTTTGGTATGTAATTATGCAAAACACTTTCCATAAAGACTTGCCATTCGATCTAATGGCAGTCCCTGCGGTCTATTTCAAAAAGGGAGGGTCTATGTACAGAGAGAGAAAAGTAACATTTGTTTTAACACAGGTTTTATGGGGGGGATGGATAAATACAAACACATCGCAACACCGCCCAAAGTATTTTTTCGAGTCAAATTAAAATAATTACGAGGGGGTTTAATAAGTTAATCATAGCAACACGGCCCATCCAAATGCAGAGGGAGGGGTGTTCAGGCTTCAGCCCACCACCTCCCGACCTGAGACTGGGCTTGTGGGTGGCGATTCGCCTCCGGCTCATGCAGGGTGGGGTGCGTCTCCGCGCCAGCTCAGTTCACCTGGGTGCCGGGTTGGACGCTAAAGCCCTGACTAGGGCTGAAGTTGGGGGAGGGGCAGGCAACCTGCAAAATCTTTTCCGCGAAATTACGTGACGGAGGGCATCTTAACAAAGCAGCCATCTCCCAAGAAGCCCTCCCCCACATCTCCTTTCCCTCTGGTGCCCTCAAGCCCCAGGATGTAGGGGCCCACAGGAAGGCTGGTGGGAGGGGATGCCGAGGTGGGGTGGGACGCCAAGGCAGCAGTGCCTTGCTAATTTGGGGAAAATGTCTAAACCCGGAGCCCACAATCAGAGATGTCACCTGCGAGGCCGACCCCCAGCGGCTCACGCAGAACCTCTCCACGCCACCTGAGGTTTTGTTTTGTTTTTAAAAAGCACCAGAAGGAATTTAAAAGAGCTTAAAGGAGGAGATGTGGAATGAGATGGGAGGGCAGTCACGGGTCCCGACCCACCCCTGGCTGCCGGCTCAACAGCAAGCGTTTCTCTGTAACGCCACGGGCCCCCACTCCGCTCGGAGAGGCGCACCCCC